TTGTGAAAAACATGCACGACGTACAGCAATGGAGATGGCTGTCATCTCAGATGGCCCGTGGCGCTTCTTGAGCCATCTCCATTTTCCGACTACCTCTCCCCGCTCATCTAACACTGATTAACTCTCCAAAGCTGATAAGTATCACATTCAACTCCCCAAGGCAGTTGTCCATAGCACTTCAACGGTAGTATGAGACCAAGGGAAAATAGGAGGACACATCCGATGCTGCGAAAGCAGACCCCGAACTATAAGGAGGCAGCAAACCGAGGCTTTAATACGGCCCTAAGCTTCAGTGACACTAGAGCGATGCAGTTCTGAGAATAACAGCCCGTGTCACCCAAGTGTCCTGCCTAAATCCATGGAAAAAAACTACAATCGGCCGGTTCTATCGGAATCGACCAACTAGTCCCAACATCAAGTCCCTCACCAGCAGAGATTTTCACGTCAACTACCCCACAACACTCTGAGGTTGTTAGACTCACTGTCAGTTGCCTATATAGGAATGTAGGGGGGCTGAGAGGAAAAGCAGGTGAACTCCGAAATCTCCAAGCACGCCTTCGACTGAAAATGATCATTCTCACTGAAACGTGGCTAAGCCCCACTATCGCCGACAATGAAATCAGTATAGGTGATAGGGTTCTGGTCAGGAGAGAAAGGGATAACAGGGAAGGAAGGGGAGTTGCCTTATACTTTGATAGGCAACTCAAATGTGTTCGTGCAACGGACCCACTACTTATTGAACTCCCAGACTCCATATGGTGTCATTTCACCGTAGGCCACACCAAGCACTTACTGGGTGGCATCTACTCATCTCCCACCTGTGGGGCAGAGCACAATCAGCTACTGCTCAGCACTATCACACGGATACGACCAAATCACCATAGCTGAAGATTTCAATGCCCCATCACTGAACCTCGACTCGGGGTGTGCTAAGGGAAAATTTGGCCGAAACCTACTGCAAACTATTCGAAACACGGGACTGACTAAGAATGTTGGAGACGACACTAGGTGGGGTCCTAGTGGAAAGTCATCAAAACTAGAGGGTGGCGTTAGCTGATCAGTAGATATGGTGGGGGTCACTAAGGTGAATCGCCCCATTCTGCAGGAACAGCAATATACAAATTAAAGGCTCGAGATATTTCTGATTTTTATGAGGGCTTAGATCTTTATCTTGAAAAAGATAATAATGAACGCCTTGACAGATCATGCTTCTACCTTTAAATATATACCATTCGCTCAGCCTATTGTTGAGATGCGACCATGTGGGATCTGCACAGATTTATGGGGCATCTTATAAATCAACTTGCTGTCCATTGTCGGATCTGTAAATACCACTTCACAATGTCTTATCGGATTCATTTTCTAATAACGTCTTTACTTAACCCTCATTGTATCCCATTAAACCTAACATTTCATAGCTCTTTATGAATTTGATTCGACTTATTCTATTCCTATTCTCTGTGAGGTACGGTTGTGCACCAAATGCACAAAAAAGCATAAAATAAACAAAACAGACAAAAGGAAAAAATGTATTAAAACCAAAAGTGGACAACATGATAGTACGAGATATACGCGTGGCATTATACATTGCAAATGAACGTTGTCAGCCTAGGGAGTTTTCTATATTAATGCATTTATTAGTGATACTTGCACTTACCCATTTCATTACACTTTATTGATTCACCTTAGCACTTTTACTTTTCTGAAAACAGCTTTCAATCCGTTGTAAACGTTGTACTTACCTCAATATTGGTTGGTTATCGTATGCCGACAACCACGGGATGAAAACGAAACGAAGTCGATTTTCCCGCTCAACTTGGAGGACAATTGTACAATTCAATAACTATACAGCCTAGTTCAGACAATGTGTATTTATATATATATCAAATATTTAACTGTTGAAACATTATTAACTTGTAGACAATCTACCATTTGATATTATATCATACTTGATCGTGCCTGTAAAAATGGCATGCATTTTCATGTAGATTTATATGTTTATATGAGAATATATATTATTATGTAGACTATATTTTAGCTAGTGGCCAACTACTCGTCGAAAAGGTCCAGATCATGACTCCTCTGGGAAGCAGTGACCATGCAGTCATAGGTTTCGATCTTGTCCTCCGTGAGCGTTTGCAATGGGATGTTACGCGACCATGTCTGTGCTACAGCAAGGCTGACTATGCTGAAATGCGGAGGCTCTTGTCCGACGCAGACTGGCCCTTAGCATGGGACGACCTATCTGTGGATGAACACTGGGAAGTGGTAAAAAAGATTATTTATATGCAATCTCGGATACCGTCCCTTTAGTCACAACACAGCCCAAGAGAAAGACGTCATGGTTGAAGAGAGGCACGCAACGTATTCTGCAAGCAAAGCGGAAGGCTTGGTTTACGTGGCGTGTATCTAAGAGTCAGACCGACCATGATGCATACCTCGAACTCAGGAACCGGTGTAATGCAAGAGTCAGGAGGGACAGAAGGTCATTCCAGGCTAACCTTGCTAAAAAACTCCTATCAAACCCTAAAAACTTGTACCGATTCATGTCGGAAAGAAAACCGACAAACCAAGGGGCATGCGCCTTAGTAGGCCCAAACGGTCAATATCTCACTAGTCTGGAGATGGCTGAAACATTCAGTTCAGCCTTCGCTAAACAGCTAAACAGCAATGTGGATATTACAGTTACGGACCAAAATGGTGGCACCACTATTTCAGAGGAGGAAGACCTAGCGACTACTCCCCAAATAAACCCCGCAATAGTACTAAGGAAGCTACAGCGACTCATACCTGGGAAGTCCCCAGGTTGTGATGACATCAGGCCATCTGTTCTGAAACAGTGCGCCGAGGCTCTCTGTAGACCCCTGTGCGACTTGTTCCAACACTCAATGGATTCGGGGACCCTGCCAAGGGAGTGGAAAAGAGCCATCCTTTCTCCAATCTTCAAGGGTGGGGACAGGCAAAACGCTGCTAGCTATAGACCAGTAGCTCTACTCCCAGTGGTATCAAAAGTACTGGAAAGTATTATTGACGACCACATCAGGGAATATTTCGATAGGACTAATATACTACATGAAGCCCAACATGGTTTCAGAAAAGGCAGATCCTGCGTCACTAACCTACTGTCAGCTTGGGACGACTGGACATCATGCTGGGACTTGAACGTACCAGTCCATGTGGTCTTCCTAGACTTTGAGAAGGCATTTGACACTGTTCACCATGACCTTCTCCTACATAAAATAAGCCAGGCAGGCATAGGTGAGCCACTTCTGTCATGGTTGAAGGACTACCTAGCCGACAGGCAATTTTGCACTAAGGTTAACCGAGTCCGATCATCTTGGCACAGATCGTCATCAGGAGTGTCGCAGGGTTCTATCCTAGGACCACTGATGTTTTTGATTTTCATCAATGATCTACCACGCCGTCTGAGCTGCCCGACTCTCCTGTACGCTGACGACGTAAAAATATGGAGGGCGATAAAGTGTCCGGAGGACTCAGATAGGCTACAGGAAGACCTAAACCTTCTGGAAGACTGGGCGGTGGCCAGTGGCATGACTTTCAACTTGAAAAAGTGCAAAGTAGTGAAGTTGCGCACCTGTAGACTGCAGAATGCAAGTTACACCCTGTGCAATGAAAGCTTGTCCTGCACAACGTCGGAACGCGACTTAGGTCTAGTTCTAACGGAAAAAATGGACACAAGCGTAAATTACACAGGGGATGTAGCGAGGGCATATGCGGTCATACACTTTACGCATAGACAGTTAGGTGCACTCACTCCTGAGCTCTTTCTAATGTTGTACAAAACATACGTCAGGCCACACCTTGAGGTGCATAATATTATTGCACCCCCAATGCCAACCTCTTGGAAAGAGTCCAACGACGGGCAACAAAAGGAGTGGTTGGTCTCCGAAACAAACCATATGATGAAAGGCTGAAGAAATTAGGCCTGTTCACACTTAGTTACCGTCGGCTTAGGGGGGATTTGATTACTGCCTACAAAATAACAAATGACCAGAATCACCCAAACAAAGGTGTTCTGCCATTGAGTAGGTATAGGCTTCCACGTGGAAATCCCAGAAGGATAGCTCACCAGAGGGCAAGGACCCGGGTGCGCTCCCACTTCTTTTCACTGCGGGTTTGTCGTCCCTGGAATTCCTTACCGGCAGATGTAGCTATGGCACCGTCTTTGGACGCCTTTAAGCGAAGGCTGGACAACCATGCAGCGATACAAGGACTGCATCCAAATGGCCTATCTCCTTAAAATCGCATACATCAATCAGGGTAGATAATTAAACTCGTCGTTTTACTTCTTTACATTCTCTCCCGTCTTACTCTCCTGAAAACTTATTAATATTATAATTATTATTATTACCGATATATATATATATATATATATATATATATATATTATTCTTCAAACTTAATGAGCTGACTGTTGTTACGTTTCCTATTTTCGTTTCTGTCTCTTAGTCTGAATAGCTTCACTAATTATATCTATTATTAATCATTATTATTATTACTATCTCTTTTCTCTTGTCGACAATACCGAAGGACTAACTGGCGAAAGGATCAACTCCAATCACAGTAGTAACAGTCTTAACACACCTCATACTACAAACCACATATAATTAATCCCAGCACTACTCTCTTTGGAGTCAACCAAAGCTACGACAGTCGAGTGGCGGGACAAGCTACGCAGAAGTTTACCGAAGATCAGGAACCTATACCTTACAATCGAGAAGCGAGCACAAAGAAATCAAATTGGTTTATACTAGCTCGTAAAAACGATATTGGATATTGGATGTTCTAGAGATAAGATATTGTTATTGAAAACTAATAATACATCAGTATTTTATCCTCTGCCCTAATGAAAGCCCTACGGTTTTGTATATTCAGATATGTTTCACTACGGTACTTTGATATTCACAGTAATGTCTTGTTTACTGCATCCACTTTTCAAGGTGAGTCCACTGACCTATGTTTGTAAATAAACTGATGGTATGGATACCGCGCAAGTTTGGTCCTTCAAGGTCAAGGGGAAAGATGGGGTTTCTTACTGGTATTATTATAATCAAAAAATAACCGGAAACTTTTCAGCGTGTGGGATATATGCTTCAGTCCAGATGGGTCACAGCTGATAGTAGCGTCGGGAAACTTGGTGTGGGTGTATAGGGCAGATGATGCTAGTTTGACTAAGAGTCTCAAAGGACATAAGGAGACAGTTTACTGTGTTGCATACGCCCATGATTCTAGTATATTTGGAAGTGGGTCAGCTGACAAGTGCGTGATAATATGGAAGTCAAATACGTTGGAGGGCTTGTTAAAATACATGTAAGAACATCCTTTCCTGCTAACCCCGCTTGCAATAATAGGCATAATGAGTCAATACAATGCTTGGCTTTTAATCCCACAACTGTACTTTTAACAAGTTGTAGCTTCAGTGATTTCGGTTAGTTTGATTACCTAAATTCTTTTAAACTAGTTTAATTAATAATAACTTCTAGGCTTCTGGACTATGGATCAGAAGTCTGTTGTTAAAACAAAAATATCTGCTCGACCCACATGTTGCAGTTGGAAATCTGACGGACAGTACTTGGCTATAGGCCTTTATAACGGTGTGATAAGTGTTCGGAACAAAGTGAGTAGGTATATATTTTTCTTATTTATCTCTAAAGGATGAGTTTGAGGTGGATTTTTTGTTATTTATGCTAACATCAAAATTATGTCGGTACTTCGTTAACCGAAACACTTTAATACTTACTAAAAATAAATAGAAATTTATTGGATATTGGATTGGTTTGTATGGCTAAGAAGTTGGAGATTTGAAAAGTGGTTATAAGTGGAACTGAAATATCACTACTTACTTAAAATTCGTTCTCATAAGCTTCAAAAATTAACAGCTACCGACGTATATATATTTAACCGTACTCCACTATTTTAAACTTTTCACAACTGTTATAATTTATGCAATTATTTTATTATTATTTCCTGTTTCACTTTTATGCATAATGTTAGGTGTTCGTGAAGGTTTAGTAGCTTAGACAAGTTAGTACATGCACTTCCCTTCATCACATATATATTCCCTGGTTGGTTTATTACTACCTCTAATTGATTATTGCTTAAAACGTTTTTCGTAATCATGGTAAACTTTCACTATTGGAAGAACTTTTTACGTTGGTAAAATCGAGATTATTCTCTTGTGACCTAACTTTCTTAACACCAGTATGAATAGAACATTGTCATATATATATATATATATATATATATATATATTGGATTGTGCAGTAATTCCACTCTTAATAATATTTAGCAGTAAGAAACGAGAGCTGCCGCTGTATAGGTTTCCGACTGGTTGCCCAGATGTCTCAAATGGCATTGCTGTACAAACTTGTTTAAAGAATATACCAATCCTTAGTTCTCGGATCCAAAGGACGTAGGGTTGATCATAGGCTGCAATTCCAGAAAATGGTTCATTGTCATGGGGTATTTCAGTGTTCTAATGGCTTTAAACATATTACCTGCAGTCTTATTCTAATAATATCACGTGGAATGTCAACTGGCACTTCGAAAATAATGCGAAGGAAAATGACCTTATGAAAGTCAGCATTAGTTATGACAAGACTTCATCCTCCATTTTTGAGGGGTGTTCCTTTTTGTTTTAGAACATGGATCAAATCAGAACTATTATTATACATAATACAAACTAACTGCAAAAAATCCTCACCATCTGCTGATGAAACTCGATCAAGACATCATATCATTAGTGTAGGCTTTTGCTTATCCAGTCCACCTAAAGCACTCTCGAATTCCTTGTAGGTTTAAGTCCATATTATTTCGTTGTTATTATTGTAATTGGAAAGCCTTCCTTTGTATGCTGTCTATATGTTGTGTGAATTGGAAATGAGCTTTTATGCATGATCAATGAATTCAGTCGTGATGTATATGTATGATAAGCGGTCTGTGAGTTATTCCAGCAAGTGGATTCCAGTATAAGCAAATATCCACGTTACCTATGTCACATAACCCGATATCTATCAATAATAATAATTTTTTGCTTTATTCCAAAAACAGTACTAATGATACAGCAAGGAATTTTCAGCACTCAGTACAATACTGCATCTGATTTACTCAAAAACGACAAAAAAAATTAAAAATACACATTACATAATAGTAATAAAACGATTGTTATAGCAGCTACATAGCAAAATACTGTATGCCATACAGAGAAAAATATGCATAAAGTACAAAATTGTAGTAATAATAGTAATACCAACTAAAATAAAATAGCAGAGTAATAATTAAACGATAGAAAGTGTGACACCATAAAATACAGAAAGATAAACGATGAAAGGGTCGATTCACTGTGCTAATTACATAGTAACTTATAAGTTTCACGTCTAACAGAGTCTTCGTCACATAAAGTCGCAATATTCACGAATGTATAACTAAAAGCAGGACAAATAAACGTTGTGATATTTATTTTGTTGAAAACTTCAGTTACATCCCATGTAGCTTTCACAGAAGTAAACAAAAGTTTCTAAAATTCTTCAAAAAGAGAGCATCGTATTATTGAAAAGCACAACTAGAAACTGGAAAGACTTATAGTCTCTTGTGGAAGATGATATCTGTCCAAGGTTAACTGCCTTAGAAAATTTTTTACACTAAAGCCTTGGCATCGCATATTTCAATATATTATATACATTTCTGTTTGATATCTTTTCCTTGCTATGTTTGAGATGAACCTATAAAATGGTTTTTAGGGAAAAAGTTTATGCCGATTATAAATTCCTTTTTTCAAAACTCGTTAGACAAGTATTTTGGAGTACAATCGATGTCTAAAATGTTAACTCAAGGTCAGAGAAGTACTCAGTCATATTTATTTTTTACAGTGAATAATCCCTCCAGCTGAAGAGTCCAAATAGGACGAAATGCGCATCCTGGATTCCACTGCTAGCCACCATCCACCAATTGAATAATCTCTTGTTTAAAATATTGATGCTCACAAAAACTGTCTAATAAATAAACATTTAAAGAATTCATCAGACTCTAATCACTTCTATATAATTAGATTAATTGTCTAACAGTGTCCAACAATGATTTCTTAAACCGTTTTTGTTTATATTACTTTGACTGATGTTCTCCTACTTTCTTTTTACTTTTGCGGACGAATTATTCCGGTTGATCAAAAGTTCTGATAGACAGCAGACTTTCTCAACCATTTGAATATCATTTTGCAAATATATGGAATACAGTTTCCATCCTCAAACATAAAGAGATAATTTAGAACTAGTGTGCATAGACAAACCGTGTCGTTGTAGAAAGTAAAATGGTTGTTACCTTTGACACTATGCATATTTATTAAGTGTCCCAATGAAATCCGAGGACAGATATAGGGCTCAATTAACTGTCGGGTAAATTCCTTTCCCTGTGATCGAATACCTAAGCTATGGAGTTATTGTACTACAAATTACGAGTGAAAATATTAGACAGATTTCACTTCTTAGCCATTTCATAAGCTCTTACTTTCATAAGGAACTGCAAAGCCTAACCATCGTGTTTATGTATGAAAGTGCACATGGTTTTGTCCAACTTTTATTTGGTTTAAAGTCAACATTTCATTAAGCTGTTTTCATTATATTGATATGATGAAGATTTTTCCCGGAGCTGAGGCTGCTGCTGTTTCTCAATGATTAGACCAAACGTTTGACATCTTTTTCAAAACATTTCAGTATGAAGGTTCCAGTAATACTTTTAATTATCATGATCTAATCTTAGCTGAAAACCTAGTGCTAGAACTAGCTTACGGTGCTTTATGGCACTCAAATGCTAACAGAAATTTGACTCTATGTAAAGTTAATTATTTCATTTACTAAAATCACAAATATAACCAATTATAAAGTATAAACTTGCATGCGTACCACATACAATATGCCGCATAGATTTTTATTCAGGTATTTTTCTAGATACCGAGTATATAATTTTGTTGTTACTTGAAAATCCTCATTCAGTCATATAAAAGAAAGAAGGCGTTCAGCAAAGAGACTCTTTTCGGCGAATTCATTCACTGAGCTGTACAATCGCATATATATACAATTTTGTTTGTGTGTGTGTACATTAGATTTATAAAGTTTAGATAATTATGTAATGTAAGTATTATTCGGCTTGGAGACAAACGTTAAGGTAGAAAATAAAATAGAATTGATTAAGTGAACTGGATGACGTAATACAGTTGATTAGTATTCAGAGTAGGTCAGGTTGGCAACAGTGTTAATGAGTGGTGGTTAAAATTAAATAAGGGTGGAGTTAGAGAATAATATAAATGAAGATGTGAAATAATAAAATGCAAAAGACAAAATAATACAATTAGTAAGACTGAAGTTAAGAAAGATTACATCCATTGTAGATTTAATGAATGAACGAATTTCTTTTGTATGCAGAGTTCAGGATTTAGCAGATGAATTGCCATTGCTTCTGCGATATGGAGAAGTTTGATCCGTACACTTTTAGCAAGATTGCCTTGTATTCTGTAGACAACTTTGAAGTTTCTTTCTGGTTTGACTTGGTGTCCAGAGTCGATCAAATGTTCAAGGATCGAGCTGCGGGGGCATCAGTTTTCTCCTTTATAAAACCATGAGGGTAAATGTTCGTTGACGCGTTTGGATAACAAACGCTGAGTACGGCCGATATACCTGGCTCCACACGAGCAGGTGAATTGGTAGATGTACATAGATGAGGCCAACAGCGGTAGCTTATCCTTCACTTTCATACGAATCATTGGTCTCGTGGAGAACGTCAGTCGTAATTCAGCTGCAGGGAAGGTTTTCTTCAATGAGCGGGAGACCCGATTTCTCAGTATTTCTGTAGATTGGTCTCCATTGAACTGTAGGTTCATGTAGAAAAGTCTTTTTGGAGCACTGGGTGTGGGCGGCTTCTCTGGTCTGGGTTTCATTGATTTTGTGATAAATCTTTCTGGATAGCCATTTTCAAGGAGGATTTTCTTAAGAGTGTTCATTTCATCTTCTATGGCGTCCAGGCTGCAAATTCTACGTATTCTGTGGCTTAGTGAACGGATTAAGTTTCGTTTAGTATATAGAGGCACCCAACTGTGGAAGTTAGTCAGTTGTCCGTTCCACGTTGGCTTTCTGTAGATGGATCTTTTTAAATTTAAATTTAAATTAAAAATTTTGTTGTTGTCTAGTTATAGAAATGTTTGATTTTAAAATGTAACCGTTTAGATAAATAGTAAAGATATCTCCTTGAATCTACTGTTTGGAGGATATAATAAAAAGAAAAAGAGCTGCATAGCAAAGAAGATTTTCTTTTTAACGATTCACTTCATAAGCTGTACAATCGTAATTATATTTAACAAAGAATCCATAACACCAATCATATACTGGTAAAGTGTTTCCTCGAAAAACGTATTACGCAGTGTTAGGTATAACCCAGAGGGGATGAGTAATTGGAAGTTAGAAAAGAGGCAGAAGTTGGCATGATGTGATAAGTGTGAGAAAATGATTAATCATTATGATTATGTAGAATGGATAGGAACTAGTGGAAAGACGATAACGTGGTTTTATTTAAAATCTGTATGAAAACGCAATGTTATTAATAAACAGTAGTAGAATGATAATAAAATAATAGTAATAGTGAACTTATATGATAAAATGAGGCAAAACTGTAGTAAGAACGTTACTCTGGTCATGGTAAGGAGAGTGAATGTATGCAATGCTTTGAATGCAGAAGTCCGGTTTCAGCCAATGATTCAGTTCTGTACAGATGGCGTATTCGAAGTCCCTTTCTACGATATTAAGGGACTCTGTGTAGCATTGTGAAGCAGTATGGCTGTGATCGAAGCCCAGAGTTAGCGATGTGTTCAAGCATGGAGCTGCTATTCTTCTTCTTTTCTCCTTGGCTAATCAAGCTGAACAGTGTTCGAGGATACATTTACGGACTTGACTTTGTGTATGAACGATAAATAAAACTTTAGGAATATGGACACACTTTCAGCCTATGCCAGGTAAGTCGTATTCATCGCATTCACACGCAACAAGGGTTGTTCCTCAGAAAAGCGAAAGGGCGAATGCATATGTCTGTCACTCACAAGGGGACTGGTTGACATGCAGGCCCTCCTAGGTGAGCTAGAAAACTTTGATTCCAAACTTATGGTGTACATGGGCTCAAGAATATGAAAGGACTAAATGACATATGAATCTGTTCTGGTTCTCAGCCGCCATGAGAACGTAGCTGCTGACGCTGCTCAACTGCCTTGTGGATTAAACTTCAAGTTAAAGGCTAGTATGGGGATCGCCCCTTAAGACAACCATCTGATTTGGCTTGAGAGTCCTGGCAGTATCGCAGGCCTTGCACAAAATAGGAGGTTTTGTATGGAGCTTGTCTTGGTGCCCGTAATGTACCAAGTTTGTGGTTCAATAATAATAATAATAATGCGAATAGGGCTATCATCAATAGGGCCAACACATATTAGAAACAGCGCTCTCCAATCAATGTACAGCAGTTGGTTAGTTAATTTATTGTTACAAACAATAAACCTTATAGGTTTAAGGCTTTCATTTCCATTATACATGTGATTGTGCATTAGTAACGTTTAATTTGAAGGAAATTCCTAAAATTTGTTTTAATATACTTTAGGCTACTGAAGAAGTAGTGAAAATTGAACGTCCTGGTAATCCAATTATATGGCATCTTAAATGGAATCCATCAAAGTAAGTTATTCTTCATAGATGTAAGTATAACGTTAAAGAAAGTAAAAATTAGGCATTTAGATGGTGGAAAATTCATTAACAATAAAAGTAATTAAATCTAGAGATGCTAGTCAATTTCTTGACATCGTTGTTAAAGTATGGTAAAGTCTTATGGATCTGGAGCTGATACTTTGCTTGCGACTGTTAACCAGATAGAGTTTTTAAAGCATATTTTCGTTTCATACTTTCTGAAAACTACTTAGTACTCGCAGGAAAGGCTTGAAGTAGGGAGATATGTTTTGTTTTCTCTATGCAAGGTTGTTCACTGTCAGACTACAGACCGATAGTTTTGCATATACTGCTTCCAGTGAATTTTGGTGTTATTTTAGCACTATTTTAAATAAAAATTATAAGTCTACACGAGTATTCCTTTTTCTGCCTCTTGATATCTGAAGAAAATAGTTTTACTCAGCTTCCACTATATTATTGTTATTATTATTATGTTGGGTTCCCAGTGGGACATCTCTGCCCTACTATGTTACCCGCAGTCCCTTTTACTTGAGCTCACGATTGCCTATAAGCTTTCATCTTGTCCTCATGCAATCTCCTCCATGTAACCCAAGGAGCTATGCTAAACTTGTCGTTTTCTATTCGCGTTCCATTCGAGAACTGGTCTGGAGTACACTGTCACCTGACGCCCTACCCAACGTAGATCCAGTGCATCTCTGTCTCCTTCTACATATTCGTTGGGCAATAGTTTCTTGGATGGTTCGTTACATAGCAGATTTCTTTTTTTTCTGGATTTTGAGTATAGAACAAAGGTATTTGCTTCATTTGCATAGTATTACTAAGATTATTTGGAAGCAAGCAATAACTTTATACCAGAGTATGAGAAAGAGATATACAATAGTAAGAAATAAATTCACTTTCAAGAGTTGGTTCGTAAGGGTTAGATTTGTTTCTTACAAGTTTGACCACGGATTGATATCAATTAGAGAACCATCGAAAACCGGTAGGGAGTACTGGAAGCTGTTTCATCTAGTTTGGGAATCATCGGCAGTACGCACCCAATGGGATTCGAACCCAGGACCTTCCTGCAAGCTCGTATACGATTCAACCACTGAGACCCGATTCAATGGCCAACCTATGAATTCTAACTTCTTCCAATTCGTGATTTAGCGCGACCACCCACCAACCAATGTCATCGGTGGGAAATCCATCCATTCCCAAACTAGGATGAAACAGCTGTCCAGTACTACCTATCGGTTTTCAATGGTTCTCTAACTGGTCAAACTCGTAAAAACAAATACATTGATTACAGTATACAAGAAATCGGTATGAAAAGATTCTTGTTATATTGGGGAAATTTCTATAAAGCAAGGAGAAGAATATTTTCAAATTCGAAGATCAAGTGTGACGTAGAAGTGATTACTCTGTCTTATGAAAGATGGGTAATCTAAACAAAATTATAAGTGAGCGAGGAATATACTGACAAATAAATTATGTGAAAGACATTATTCGGTAAAAAATTAGCTAGAAATAAGCGCCCAGTCAGCTCATTCAAGGATAAAAATAAAATGAAATATAAAACTTTGGAGACTCAGATTGGAAGAGGGTAAAAAAAAATACCAGGGTAGCAATTGGTTATGAGGTGTGGTCTCAAGGTAGACCAGTATAAAACATCTCAGCGTGTCGATGTACAGTTGAGAACTAGTCTCTTTTGGACTGTGTAATTGAACGCATTATATTATACACAGCAGGACCGGTTTAGGTGCTGTTTGGGTCTTCAGTATTTCATCTCTTATATTACCTGTCAGTTCTCTTTAAAGCTTCAAAAATGTTAAATCCTAATGAGAGAAAACTAACTTCTTTTGACAGTAATGTGAGTTTGTTCATCCTAACCTCTTCTATGAAACGAATAATTACACCGTTGGAAGTTATTACATATGCTCTGAACAACTAAATACAGGTGGAACGGAAGAAGAAGAAGTGAAAACCACAATCGGAAAAACAAGACAGACCTCATCACTCTGAAATCAGTTTAGAAATCATCTGAACTTGGCATAAAGAAAAAAATCCGAATTTCCAACATCACAGTTTAGTTAAATCTTCGCTATGGGTGACAGATTTGGCGATGGCGATGCGTAAAGGAGTTTCCAACAGCCTGCTTCAGACTGTTATCAACAGCAGCCTTCTCTGCCTCCCTACTGAAGATCAGATAGCAAACCAAAACGAATTAGTAACAAGAAACTCTTGGAATGAACCATTCAAGATCCTATTGCTTAATAAATTTGACGAAGAAAGTGGAGATGGTCCGAATACACGGTGTAGAGATGGTTGAATGAAATAGCACACGAGGCAGAGCCTCCAGTGGAAGACTACGAGATGGGCGTGAGTTTCAGCACGACACAGAGGAGACCATGTGGGGAAGAGATGAAAGGTTATGAGCAATCGTGGGGTCATCTGAAGAGGACTGCTGAAAACAGGATGAAATGCGGATGTTCTGTTGAAGTCCTATTTCCCACTCTGAATTTAAAGGAATAATAATAAAGTTTTAGAATTATGGATTTCACCTTAATAATATTGAAACCGGTGTTTTCCTGTTTAAAAGTTTATCTTAATTATTACTGTTTTATCTACTGCCTTGGAATAATATAATGATTGGCTGTATACCTCATGATAATCAAAATATTGTATTCAAGTGCCCTGTTTGCAATTTTGAAGTACTTACACCAAATGTCCGTAGATGATATTGAATAGGCAGAATTTCACCAAAAACCAATTAACTACTTTTAACAATTTTTAGTAATATAATGCAGATAATCATGGATTAATTCTCCTTCAATTCATGGGTGCTTGAATTCCGGCCCAAATAGTTGAATGGTCAACAAGCTTAGTCCAAGGTTTCATCCCTAGTGGTAAGGAAGTGAGTGCGCACTGTCGAAGAGTCTCAGGCTAGGACGAAACAGCTGCCCACTACTCTTTGGTTTTCAATGATCTCTTTAAACTAATCCAAATCTTCACAAGTCCCATTATCTAAAAATTAATTCACTTTGTTAATCTGCTGAGAATTATGTGGTCATAAACTGATTGTTAGGCGATAATGACAGCTAATACATACGCTGACGCATCTTGGTTAATGATGTACTTGACCCGTATGTCGTCCTGAGTAGTACAGAGATAAAAACCTAATAAAAATGTGGGTGTTTTGCAGTGAAATATAATATTTAGAGGTAGTCAAGAAATCGATATGTACATTGGATGGTTGGAAGTAGAGGTCAGGATCCATGGACTTAAGTGTCATGCGTGTTATCATTCACCAACAAGACGTATCTGAGACTTCGAAAGGGACTGACGTCTTCTCCAATTTTCGAAATCGCATCACCTCTACCTGCTGTCACAGACGTTACCATTGAACTTTTCAAGCTCACTAAATACCTCTTTTTGGAGTGAGATGGGTAAATTGATTGATTACTAAGGAGTAGTTAAGGTTATCTGTCTTTTCATTTAGTGTTGGTTGCTGACTGAATTCTATATCTAGCGTCTTGTTTACCTCTGAAAACTAAATGATTTTTAATCAAGGATTTCTGATTATCTTTAGGCTTTCAACTGGAAGGCTTTTGTACTCTTTGAATGGATCATATCAGCATCCAGTATTAAGTATTCTAAATTGATTATCATGTTGCTTACTGTAGCTGATTTTGTTCCCGACCGAAAGCTGCTACCTTGACGTGGTGGTCGGGCTTGAACACCGCAATGTCCCAACAAGCTATACTGGCTGAGACTTATGTCTCTTGAGGTCATACCATGCCAGAAAGGTTGTTTGGATAGCGGTTAGACAAAAAGCAGCTACCCAATCCAATACTATGATACAAAAAAACTCACAAAATGTCATGCCGGATCGATCGGGGCCCGGATTAACAACGACCGCGCTTCCTGCTGCCGTGTCACAGGGCAGAAGTGATAAGTATGCTACTGAGACACACCAAATAAAAAAGAACAAACAAAAACAGGCCGCGTGTGACCGGCCTCAAGCAGTTGTCCCCTGGGCTCTGCGGTCACGCAACCAACTTCCACGGTGTGGGCAGCCGGGAAGTAACAATCGCCCTCACAATCCGAAATGCACCTCACTCATCTTTGTCTTCATCTTCATCTCTATCATCTTGCCTTCCTTCCACTGATGCAACTCCTCTACTTGATGGCTCTTCACTCCTCTTCACTCTGTGTCCACTAAAAACGACGAAAGCCAAAAAACCACCACCGATAGTCTCCTAAAGCCACGCCACCAATTTCATATAGGAGCATTTAATGTTAGGACACTTTGCCAAATAGGACAACAAGCATCACTAGCTAAGACCCTGGCATCTCGAGCCATTGATGTATGTTGTGTTTCAGAAACACGCATACAAGACCCAAGTGTGGTTATTCACCTAACCCCACCTGGCCAACAGGATGAATCTTCAAAATTCACCTTGAGGGTGTCAGGAGATGCCACAGCTAGTTCACGAGGATTAGCTGGCGTAGGGATAGCTTTGAGTACTAGGGCAGAAAAGACATTGCTTGACTGGATCCCGGTAGATAGCCGAATGTGTGCTGTCCGTCTGAACGGATCAGTAAGAAGGAGAAAGGACTGCACTACTCGCCGATGCCTTTTCGTAATCTCCGCCTACGCCCCCACTGACTGCAGTTCGGATGAAACGAAGGATGAGTTCTACCAAAAGCTGTCTAGTTTGGTGAGAAAGGCTAAACGCTCAGATATAGTCGTTCTAGCTGGTGACTTTAACGCTCAAGTAGGGAAATTGTGTCAATCTGAGAAGGATGTCGGTGGCACCTATGGAGTTCCGTGCCAGCGAACCGACAACGGTGACCGTCTCCTACAGTTCTGTTCAGATAATCATTTGTTTCTTGTAAGCACTAACTTTAAACACAAGGAGAGACACTGTTTAACCTGGCGACCCCCATCATCAAACCAACGCTGGACACAAATAGACCACATAGCAATAAGCTATCGTTGGCGTGGG